AAACAATCGGAAAGGAGATTCATAAGAGAAAATTACTTTACCCCAGTCCTCAGCAGTCCAATCCCTGTACCTTTTGCAGAATATCAGTCTGTCCCTGATGTTTTTCCTGGAGAGAATTGGCTTCTTTGCTGCCCTTCTTGACACCAGGCCATCCTCCAAAAGTCTTTCCCTCACTGTGCATGCCGATGCACTCATACCTGCCTGCTGCCATTCCTGAGCAAACTCTGCACTGTTGGTGCCCCGATCCAGCAGCTGAATCAACTTTAGGAAACAGTCCTGGCGCTTGCTGGACTTTCTTGGAGCCCTGAAGCCTTCTTCACAACAATTGAACCTTTCCCCTTGAAGCTCTTGATGATCTGTTAAATGGTTGATTTAGGTGCAATCTTAGTAGCAGCAATATCCCTTTTTGTGCAAAGCAATGATGACTGCAAATCCCGTTTTGTGCAAAGCAAAGATGACTGCACGTGTTTCCTTGAAAGTAAAAGAAAAAAGAAAATTTGTTGGCCATGGTTGTATGCATTCTGTGCAATTGATTGCCTACTGGACCCCAGTTTTGCAAGGCTAGAATGCTAACAGAGCTCCAAATTCGCTATACTCTTTCTAAAGACTGTATCTCTTCACTAACAGTCCCTCATACAGAATACTGCCCTGATGATATCATATTTATCAGCATACTGTGTGCCACTTTTATACATAATAGAACAGGTATATAAAAAACTGAATCCATAAAACTGAAGATGTTTCCCAACAACTAGATTCAATGCTTCATTGCCCCACTCATTAAATGTTATTGGATACTAGGACCAACAACTTTATGTTGCCACTGGAATTCAATAGATGGCTTTTACTGCACCATCGCTAATGTAACATGTCTTGGAGCACAACGAGGAAAACGGGGAAGGTTTTTTTTGGGAGGGGGTTCCTTGCACAGAGGCGGGATTTTTCAGGCACAATTAACAAAATACCATAAATTGTATTATTCAAAGATGAAAAGGTTATTCATACACCAAAAAAAATACATTGTATAAAAACAGCACACTCTCCCAATTCTTTCTTTTAGGGGTACAAATACTTTCACATTGCACATTAATAGCGTGGTAGAAAGAAATACCTTTCTACCATATTGAGTGTATATGTGCTTCTATCATAAGCTAAAGATCCTTGGTGTGATGGTGACATACTTCCTGCTCTGAATGTCTTTGGTTTCCAGCTGATGGTCACTACAGCACACATTAACATCTACAAGCCGCTTTACAAAAGTGTGTGCGTTGGGAATTATGTATTTGTATCATAGGCTTGACACATTTCCTGGATATAATCCACTTCTTCAGGCGCCAGTAAGGGGATATTCTGTTCTAATACAAAACAAAATTATAAGAAAGATACCAATTTCCATACATATTAAATGCGAACATTTAATTATTCTACAACAGTATAATTACATTTTTTTAAAAATCCTGCATCTATGCAAGGAAACACCCCAAAAACCCTTCCCCTTTTTCCCCCTTGTGTTCCTTTATGTTTCCACCAATTAAAATGTTTGTAAGTCTGACATTATTTAAAGCTTGCAGTCCTGATGATAACAGACAGGTATAATGACAAAGTATCACATGTAATTGACTGAAACAAATGGAAACAAGAATTGTTTCTAGCTGGTCGTCTGTTTGCTACAACTTATAGACAGATGTTCATATCATAACTCATATATATGATCCACATGAGAAGCTTAGAATTATCTTATCACTAAACACTTGCTGACCGTGGGCTCACATCCTAAATGACTTTCCAGATAAACATTGTAATGATACTATTAAATTCGTATGCATGTACAGTTTCCCTTCAATTTATGCACCCAATTTATCTATATGGCAGGACTCTGCAGTGTGGGCCTTTTTTTTACGTATCTGCTGCTAACAGCATCATTGTGGTTTGCAGCCCGTCTGCAAAGCTCCAGCTGTGGTAAAAGTTCCAGTCCTTTGGGCAAAACATACAGGCAAAAACACATGACTCTGCACCACAGAGCTCCGTGGGAGCAGCACCTCAATAAGCTTGAGCAACATGTTGTCAACAAAAGGACAGCACTCACTTTTTGCGCCTCCCTGCATCACCACCACGGTCCTGCAGCCTCTAGTGACAGGGAGGGAAGTCTCACAAGGTGTTTCAGAGGCTTAGCATATGCAAAGTCAAGTGAGGAAGAAGGTCATGAGGCTTAGTGTCTTAATGCCAGCTTGGCACCTTCTCATTCAGTTCATGGAATCAGCCCCCTTCCATAAGTTTATAGCCTGTGCTACACTACAGTGGAAGACACTCAGCCACCATTATTTTACCCAGAAGGCCATCCTTGCTCTCCACCAACACATGGAATGGAATGTGTTTATCAGTGGACCACACTGTTAGCAGCAGGATACACCATGGACATGTGGTCCAGTAAGCATGGGCACGGATGTTACATTTCTTTCATGGCACACTAGGTCAATAGTCTGGCGGGTGGTAAAAATGCAAGACAGGGCACATTTGTCTGATGGTGACAGCACAGTCACCTGTACCCCTGTCTTTTCACTGGCCTCATCCTTCAACATCTCAGAACCAGCAGCCCCCAAGCGGTACCCTGATTTCCAGGAGGAGTACCCTGATTTCCAAGAGGTCCTTTGTCATGTCGGAAGAGTTTGTGGCCACTTTAGATGGTTGCACCCGAGGAGTATTCGCATTGCAAAAATTCACTACCAACGGCAGCTGCCTCCCAACTGCCTCTTCTATGACATCCCCATGGTGGACCTCAATGTTAGCCATTATTATTATTATACAGTATTTATAAAGCGCCAATAGTTGGCTCAGCACTGTACATTACAATGGGGGACAGAACATGTGACAGAACACTACCAATACAATGCAAAACATGAGGGGATTCAGGGCCCTGCTCTTTCGAGCTTACAATCTAGGAGGGAGGGGATAGTGGTACAGGAGGAGATAGCTGTGGGGGATGGAGTGGCTGTACTAGTGTGCCACCAATGTGTTCTTGTGTGATTGTGGTAAGAAGACAGGCTCTGTGGGAACTGGGTTCTTTTTACAGCATTAATGGCTCATCATTTAGGATGCGTACATTTTGTCACCTTTTGAAGAGGTAACCAAAATGATGAGCTGCCACGAGATGGGAAATAGTGATACGTTCCTTCTGATGTTCCTTATTTAGGCACACACTCTTTGTCCCGATTGGGCACTGGGGGCTCAGCAGCAGAAAAGAGTGGTGGACTTGCTGTTGGCTCAAGGCCAGCATGACCCTTTGTTTAGTTCCTCCATTACAGTGAGGCAGAGGCAGCAGGAAGCAAAGAAGACAAGAGTATGAGGGTTGAAATGCTATTTGTTTCACAAATGCCAAATTTACCATTTGGTAAATGAATACAGAAGTGGCATGTATTGTGTTACTTCTGGGTTTAGCTGTCACTTTTCCCAGCTGCTGTGTCTGGGGAAGAAACTAGTAAAGCATCTGTAACCCATTGAAATGTTATTACTTGTAATACGTTAAGATGGACACTAAATGGCGGTGGGCTGCTATTCAGGGTCACTCACATGGACAGAACAGCCTTCTGGAATGTATGCTGAATAGCAGGACTCAGCTGGTGAGCAGGGCGTTCAGGGACTACATTTCCTAAGAAAGGAATATGTGGGCAGGGGCATATAAATATCTAAGCCTGGGAGATTGGCCAGGAGAGAGTGGGGAGGGACTGAAGGAGAAGGAGGTATGCTGACGGCTGAAGTGCTGAACTAGGCCGTGGAGCCAGAGTTGGAGAGAAAAGAAGAGTGGAAAGAGTCTACTAACCTCCCGGTGTCCGCCACACTACTCAGCGGACCAATCTGACAGCAGGGGACCACATGGGACACCGAGTCTGTACCAGAGAGTCCATGGACTGACCCCGTCTGCAGAGAGAGAGAGAGGGACCACTACGATCTGCTGGGTTACTCTGGTCGGGTGAGAGAGACCCATGCACCCACTCGTGAATACTGACAGTTTGCCACCACAGCTATCTGCCCACACATTGTTGTGAACACAGTTGTGAACATTACATATAGTTGCCCCAATTCGTGGCCTAGTTCTCCCAGTCGCCATTGTTGGGATATAGCTGCATTGACCGCAGGACATACAGTTGCAAGCCAGGATACTGCAGTGCCAACAGAAGCAATAAGTTTCACTTCTTCCACAAAGCAGGATTCCTACTACTGTTCATTTTGCCTTGTTGTTCTTTCCCATAAACACTTATGCCAACTGTTGCTACTCATTACTTCAAGCTGCCCTATGTCTAAAGCTTTAAAGGAGACCCTGCCCTATTTTGCTACCACTAAGAGGAAACGTTTTAAACCTCCTTTTTCTCTCACTAGCTCTGCATTACCATCTTATGGAACTATATTCCACACCTCAACTCAACTTCATACCAACTGGGCCCCAATAAGTGTGCAGAAGATACTGCAGCATTCGTAAAGGGACAGTGCTCATTTTCCAGTGAGAATTCTCTTTCCTTCACATCTAATTGATTTAATCTAGTTCAGAGGACCCACAGTGAGCTTACCTGTTCTTGATAGTTGTTCCTGCTCACTGAAGATTCAATAGTCCCCTCAGACTGGAGGCAGTGTATTATTTCTGAAAACAGGCCTGCCAACAGCTTTACTGTGAATGTTGTTATTTTTGCTTACAATTTATAAGAGTGATTGTATTTGCTGCATGTATCAGTGTCATTTTGTTCTTTATGACTAAGTTACCTTTAATTACAATATAAACTTCATATTGGTTTATACTAACTTGTGTGTGAGTCCATTCTACAGTTGTGATTTATTTGGGTCACAAGAGCACGATGGTGTCAGCAGAGGTTGGGCTTTCAGTAAGAGGTCCAGATTGACAGATTGAACCCAAAAACTACTAAGCAACCCTTAAAGTGTTACTAAACCCAGGACCCTGCATTCCTATATATGGACTCCCGTAGTACACAGAACATGGAAGTGCAATTATTTTAGTAGATATAAACTGCTAAATACCTTTTCTCATCAGCAGTATATAGCAGTCTTGTGAGTTCTATCAGTGTCCAGTAGAGCACATGTTAAAGCTTGTAGGAGGAGTTTTCTTTCTGCTCTAGGAGGATGAAAAACCCCTGACCTCTGTCTAGACAGTGCTAATTGGCCCTGTGCTGATCCCATGTACTCTCCTAAGAAAAAAAAACCTCCTTAGCAATACACACCAAACTGAGTATGTGAACAGTGTCTCCACACAATATGTCTTATCAGGAGATAAGACAGGGACACTGGAAGAAGGGGAAGCTCAGAGAAGTAAGGATCAAACAGCCTTTTTACACAATGCAGAGGATTAACCCCTTAGGTTCCACAGTGAGTATAACAAGCATGCTTTACTGCATATACATACTGATTTCACTGTTGTGGGTTTAGTAACACTTTAAGGGTGTAGTGTTACATGTGATCTGTGCTCCATTAGTTTTATTGGAGGGCAAGGGACAGATCAGTGGTCTAACAGACCCCTGATGTCTCCATAAATAGAACTTGTCTTGACAGTATGCTATTACATAGGGGGCTATTAGGGATCTATATACAAAAAATAAAGTAGCATAGAATATATAAAAAACACAAAATAAATATATTGAAGTCCCCTGCTCCCATGTACACATAAGAACATAAACGCAAAACACCTAAGTACAAAAATGACGATTGCTTACACGTTACCACAAACATCAGAGTGAAAGCAAAACTTTTTTTTTTGCCCGCTTGTTTTTACAGAGTGGAGATGATTAGAACCCATGTTAAAAAAAACTGACTGACAGGGGTTACAGTATAACTCTCCCAAACTGTATCCAAAATTAAAACAAATTGCCTATAGTTGTACTTTAAGTGAATATATCTGACTTCATAAAATAAGGGGGGAATGCTTGGTATCATGGGTTAGATGGGAATGATGATTAAAAATTAGTTTTAGCATGGAATGGATTTAACTCTAAACTGGTAACATTTAAAGGCTTTTAAAGGGTCGCCTATGGACAAATTTGGGTGCCGAAATTTGTCACAGTTTCACATGTACCGGCAACTTTAAAGCTGGACATGTTGGTATCTATTTACTCATTGAATCTCATTTTTTATATTTTTCCAAAAAATGTGGGCAATATATTGTTTGTGTGCACTAAAATTAACTTTAGTGTATTTTTCAACAGAAATATGAGTTTGATAAATATGTGCTCTAACATATCAAAAATCAATTTCAACTACCCTCCATTTGCATCTCCAGGATCTCTGATTTCAGATAATATATAATGTTTGGGGGAGTGGGTTAATTCATTTTCAGGCCTAAGATGTGCATTTTAACATGAATGCAAAACTTCCATAAAATGGGCCCAGTAGAAAAGTGGGTACTCTGAAGGACTATACTGCTGTGGATTATGGTATATAATTCGACTTTATGTGGACAGAGATACATGCTGGACGTCCATGTGAAGTTAGGATATACAGGAGACTGGTTTGGGGCGATTGACATTTATGTTTTTTATAAGTCAGCCCAGAATATCTCAGGATATACCAGAGTCCCTCTCTATATAGAGTATATTGGATACCTACCTTTACCATACCACTGTATAGGGACGCAGGAAACCTCAGCAGCAACCAGTAAGGGAGCTGACTTTTCACTCCATCTCCAGGCTTAACATTGAATCATTGTGTTGTAAATATAATAAATGTAGAATTATAAACATTTCAGGAGAAGCCGACAATGTTTCTCTTTGCGTACGGTCCTTGCTGGTTTTAGTGGGATTTCCAGATGCCCTGCCTGGGGGCAAGTGCCCCATCTGCACCATATTTTGTTTCAAGGCTGGCGAGCGGCCTGAGCTGAGGAGCTTGGCCCAGAATAATCCAATTCAAACTAATGTTAAGTCGTTAAAGTTTGAAAACCGCAATCCTGAAACATTACATATTTAGCTATTTAGTGTGACTGCCATGGATATTGTTTTCAACTTACGAGACCACATCTGTCGTAACTTTACTACCATAAATAGTAAGTGAAGCCTAGGGCAAATGGAATGTACTTCTTGTTAATCTGCCTGCTGAGCGCTGCCCTCCCACCTCCACTCTGCACACAGTGTTCACAGGCTCCCACTACAGCTGCCCAACGCTGCGTCCAATAACCTCTTCACTGCCGGCTGCTGCTAATGGTCCCCAGGCAACAAGTAAAAGCAGCCACACAACTGCTAATGCTGTTCCAGAAACACTGCAGCTGTCAAAAAGCCTACCCAATGTAAAGTAAATGTGAAACCAATCACTAAGATCTTATAAAAGCTTTAACATCTGAGTGTCATTTCAAAATTAATTTTCAATGTTTTTTTTTAATCTGCTGCTTTCATTAATATATTACCTTATGATCCTGCCACAAAGCTTTTTGTTGAGGCACTTCTTGTTGTAGGATATTACCACTCTGCTCTTGCTAACAACTATTCTTCTGCATTGTCAATGTCACATAGATTTATTTTATTTATTGCAGGTACTTCTATAGCACTGTCAATGTGCGCAGCACTTTACATATATATTGTACATTCACATCAGTCACTAACCCTCAAGGGGAGTACAATCTAAAGTCCCTAACTCACATTCATACATACACATACTAGGGCCAACTTAGACAGGATCCAATTAACCTAGCGGTATATTTTTGGAGTGTGGAAGAAAACCAGAGTACCTGGAGTACCTGGAGGAAACCCATGCAGGCACAGGGAGAACATGCAAACTCCAGGCAGGAGGTGCCATGGTTGGGATTCGAACCAACAACCCTAGTACTGCCAGGCGGAACCATTTAGCCACTGTGCTACCAATACGGACTACAAGTAGCTGTTTCAACACATATTATGCAGGCATGGGCCACTATTATCACCATCTGACCCCACATCCAATGTCCAAAACTTTCCGCCTTCATCTCCATCACGTTTACAATATACATACACCACTCCCTATTGCAATTTCTTACTGACCTACATAGGCTATCCCCCCTTCAGTGTGTCATAGATGCTTCGGCCACAATCAGCCACCTTTCCAACCATTGAGTATCTGCTTCCCCCCGGCTACCGTACAAATAAAATTCAAAATGCTAACAGCAAGATACAAATCCACCCACAGTTCTGTCCCCAGTTGCATCACCAACAGAAAATAGACACATAGTGCTACTACCTCTTCTCCACTATCCACTAGATTAGATACTGTTAGAAATTCTGTATATAGCCCTACACAACAGACAGTGCAGAGTCCACATGCGCTTTTCTGTTTCACTGCAACAAGGAATCAGGAAATTTTATTCAGAGAAAAGGCATAGAGCTTACCATATATGCAGCTACAAAATTATAAACACTACCATCTACTGGTTGAAAAATATATTTCTACTGAATACTGATGTAGTTGTTGCACAAAATACATGTAGCACCACCCCAGAAGGAGCCACTTGGTAATTATGGGGTCCTCTGGTCCCACCTCGACTCTAGGAATAGCCTCAGCCTCTCTGACACATCTGGTTCAAGGAAAATCACTGCAAGCGTGAATAATGACACAAGCAAATTATACCTTTACCCTGGCTATGGGCTATTGCCAGTAAATAGACGCACACCAGTTTAGTGGTAAACACACTTAATCTATTTGTACTTAGTAGAATAAATGGAAGTTTGAACAGGTTTGAACACACAGCAGGTGAAAAAGCACACAGTATGCTAGACAGAGCCAAATTATGTCCAAGTAGTAGGAAGAAAGCAAAAAAATATATATTCGTCTCAGTATCATTAACCAGAATCCATACAAAAATTAGCAAGTCAGCAATGAACAATGTAACTGAACTGTTAAAAATGATAACAGCTCTATACTGATTTTGAGTGCACCCAAATGATTGGCCAGGGGTATGGTACCTCTTTAACCAGCAAAAGGGCTAGGGTCTTGGGGCAGTTACAGTTAGGGGCAATATTTAGTCCTGACTCTTCACTGGCTAAATCATTGGAGCTCATTGGCACGTGTTAAAGTAATCAATAAGGCCTGCAGGCAGTACTTTAGATATGGAATATCTGGTAGGTAGTATCTAATGGCTTAGACCCTAGGAGTGATAGTGGATAATGGCTGCATGGCCCTCTCACCAGACCCAGCGACACAGCAGCAGTGATCACTCCATATGGATATCCATGGCGACTCCAATAGACAGCATAGTAGCATTTGAATCAGTGGCAGTGGCTCCTGCTCTTCACTTTCAGGTCACAACTCTGCAGAGACTGGCACAGCAAGGGGGTTTTAATGGCCCAGTCTCTTTCTCTCTCTTGACATCCCCTCAGCACAGCCTTCTGTCTACATTCAGTCCCCTCCAGCACTGCCCACAGAGCTCCTTTTTTTCCCAGACTTCGTGTTCTTCTCTCTCCCCTGCACAGCATGTTGGAGCCTGTAGTGTTCCCAGCAACTCTACAGTGGGGCCACTTGTCTTCTGGAACTACATGTCCCAGGATGCTCCACTCTAAATCCTCTGATTGGTACTCCCTGCAGCCAATGGGAAGGGGGGAAAGAAACAGGGGCTGGTGGTGGGAATGGACACACAAAGCCTGCACTTGTTTCCTCTCTCTGTTTGGCTCCCCACTACTGACAATAGTGTCAAGGTCCTACCTTTTCCCAGAGGTTGTGCTGCTCCATGTGCTGGCATCCATCTTGGGTTTCTGCAAAGAGCATGGTGGAAGTCTTTTATGCCTTCAGGCCTCTGAGGTCCATCTCCCAGAGGGGTGTGGTTGATTACATATAAGTCTGTTGTCCGCACATGCCCTTTGCATTCGTGTCTTGTGTGTTAGTGTTGCAAAAGCTCTGTGTATACTCTCGTGACTCTCCTGGAATCTGACTTGGCTTTTGACTAGACAATTCTCTGCGTTTTCCTTTGATCTGACCTCCCGTTGCTGAACCTGCCTGTGACCTGTGATTCTTGTCTACTGTTCTGTACCGTTTGTCCCGTTGTTGTCGACCCGGCCTGCCCGACTACGCTATTGTCTGATCTGATTTCCTACCAACTACACGCCATTGGCGGTGGCCATTACCGCAGCTGGGGTGTCTCGGGGGCCGCGACCTGGTTCCTGGCTGCGTCAAGTCCATCCCCACCATCAGGGGCCCTGGTGAAAGGCAGCCTGTGACTTAAACTCCGCATCCTGAGGGACTCCGGTCTGTGTGTGGTGGCTGTCGTCAGTCAGTGCGTGACCCTGCCTCTAGGCCTGCCTGTCCATTCCACAGCTCCTGCCCTGACAAATAGAGAGGGGGGGTGAGCGGGTAGAAAACACAGAGCTGCTCTGTC